TGCTCGTGGTGATTGCTGTGGCTCATCCACTTGTGTCCCATCGTCCTTGAGTGACAACTCGGGCGATTGTGTCTTCTCCACAGCAAGGGTGCTGTCCGTCCCCAACAATTCTGCAAAACGTAAAAATTTTGAGAACAGTATGCAAAATTTGTCATCCATCGTCCCGCTTCTACGTTGCTTGCTTTTGGCCCTGAATCCAGGATGACCAGCAAGCTGAGCAGCAGATGAGGCAGCATTAGTCAAAAAATTGAAAAAATTATTGACCGCATAAGTGAAGAACCAAACTAACTTTGGAGTAAAAAAATACCTGGGGTGTACGAGTTTCCCGATGTTTTGACATTTGGGCTTGTGGTGGCCGGTTGACTTTCCTGCTTTGCCTTGGTAGGATCTTTTTCTTCCACATTTGACTGTTCCAGGCGCTCTGCTGGCTTAGGTATTTTGTCCTGAAAAATTTCCCCAGTAGCGTTGGAAAGAAGCAGTTTTTTTATTCTGTTTCTAAAGATTTTTACTACTTTCAAACGGCATACCTGCAAATGTCTTTTTGTCAATTCATGGCCTAAGTCACAAAAAATTGCAATAACACAAATCTCTAATCCACTAAAAAGTCGCACAAATATTGAGAAGATGAACAAAAGAACATCCAACAGAACAAAAGAAAGCAATGAAATCCTTGAGAAAATAACAGTTGCGGGGATTGTTCCAAATGTTAAATTACCCATTCTTCGATAAAATACTGAGATTAGAGTTGAAAGAATCTTATACTGATAAGCATATTGTAGACAGTCTATATTTTATTTCTTAGTCATAAACAAAAACAAAGTTATAGAAAATTATCCTTTATGCGTTTTTGCAATGCTGCAACAGTCGGCAAAAAGCATATTATGATGGATCTGTCTGTGTGTGTTTGTATGTATTTTCGTCTGTCCGATTACATCAACTTGGCAGCCGAGAAGCTTAGATTTTGAAATTTTGTCAGCGGGTTCCCTGACCAAGTACGACTCCAAGAACGTAATATGAACTTCCACGTGCCTCTAAAGTCTTAAGTATAGGCACGTGAAATTTTTGGCGAGAAAATCGCTGAATCGAAAACCAGAAGAGCTGAGAGATGGAGAATTTCAGGAGCATGATTTCTCTGCAGTACGATTTGAACATTTCAAGTCCAGTTCCTAAGTATACGCTCGATTTCCACA